GCAGGGCTTTAATAATTAAAAATTAAATTTCAAACCCAAGCCCCCCAAATACCTAATCCCTAATTCTCTGGCCTTCTATCGCTTCCCCAACTCAGCCGACAGCCCTTCCTTGCGAGACGAAGATGACAGCTCCTCCATGCTGAGTTTCGACCACAAAGCTGCTGCTGACGACACCGGTCTCCGCCTCCGACCTTGCCAACGACGAAGCTACTGCCCGGTCTCCGCCTCTGCCCCTGCCAACGACGAAGTGAACGAAGGTAAGTGCTTATAGTTTTATACTTTCTACTTTAATCTTCTATTGTTGTTAAAGTTTAACCCTCACGTGCTACCACCCGAAACCCTAGTCCTACATCGCTTCTTCAGGTTAGATCTACAAGTTGAAATTTCTATCGTTTGTACTAATTGGGATTTTTGCAGAGTCCTAAGCTGTTCTATTGCATTGTTGATTTGCACGATTCCCTGGTTGAATGAGTGCATGTTTATGTCTCTGAGCACATTCATGGAAATTTAGGATAAACTATAAGTGTTATTGTAAACTATCATTCTTGAATCTAAGATTGGATGGGTATATTTCAGATGTTAAGTCAAATGATTTTGGAATTGAATTCAGGGATTAGGTGCGTATTGCTAATTCTAAGGTGCGTATTGCTAGTTCTATTGTTTGGCATTAGGGCATCCCCAAAAGGGGGATTTTACCAAGCTTTTGAAAGTAAAATGTTAGCTAAGTGATTTTAACAAATGTGGGTGTTGCATTTTGGAGAAATTTTTCTCCTGCAAACACCCAAGGTTTTGTCAGAACTAAAAAAAAAAAAAAAAGCAACATGGATGATTGAGAGTGGCCGCCAGCTGGCGGCCACTCTCAATTTGAAGGTAAAATCACGCTGGCCGTTGCAAATGCAACGGCCAGCTTCATGTTTTTTTTTTTTTTTTCTTATTTATTTATTTATTTATTTATTTTAAATTTAACTTTTTAAAATTCTTATTTTTAAAAAGTTAAATTATTGTTATTAAATTTATATTAATTAATTAAATTAAATTAAATTTATATATATAAATATGTTATACGTATGTTCATATTTACACATGTTCATTATAGCATTATTTCCATATTTTACTTATGTTCATTCATTTATGTTTATTTTAAAATTATAAATTTATAAATCAAATAATTAAAGAAATAATTAAAATATATAAATTAAAATTGTGGGTCCACAAAAAGTTGTGAAAAAATTAAAACTAATGGGAAGAAGAGATTTTGTAATTGAGTGAGATAGTGGATGATGAGATGGATGTTTGGGCCCACAAAAATCTAGGTAAAATCCTCAACTATTGAAGATGCCTTAAGGGAGTTTGTCCATAGTTTCATGCTCTTTAGGCTTTATAGACTATAGAGAGTTCAGAAGGTTGTTTGGATGCTAGTCTTGTAAAGATAATAGGCTTTTCTAATTTAATCCAAAGTTTATTTCTTTCCATCAAATTCAGATTTTTTCCATGTTCTGTTCATTGCTTTTGTCGTTTTCCAAAGTTTAACATGGCTTTTACAATTCAGGCCATTGAAAATGACTGAGCCTTCAAAGGTCATTCATGTTCGTAATGTTTGGGCCATGAGATTTCTGAGGTAAAGTATCATAATATACCTGAATATTACAGAATCATAAATCTGTGTTTTTATTGAGTTTATGTTATTGAAGCAAGCCAGATTGTTGAGTAAAAATCCTGTATTGTTTACACAAATGTACAACCAAACTAAATAATCAAGAGCATGGTTTAACTTTCTATTTCTAGGTTGTATCTTTTTTCAATCTTGCTCTTTATTTTCCATTGTTTTTCCCTTTTCTATGTTTTATTTTTTAAAATCTTCTGTTTGTCTGTTTTAAAAAAGAATAAACTCCAGCAGTCCAGCTTACAGTGGGAAGTTGTCACATCCCTCTTTTAATTTATCTTTTTGGTATTGGAATAATTGATCTGAATTGATATTTAAACTGTCTGACTATTTCGTGTGTCTATTAGTTTTCTAATAGGTAAGGGATGAGCTTCGTAATGAAACTTTGCAGCTTGCTAGTAAGTTCCTGGCCAGTTTTGTCATGAAACTGTTTCTTTTAAAAATGATATATACAGATGCATTTTAAACTCTCATCTTGTACAGGGGAAAATCTAGAAAAAGAACCAAGGATCATGGAGCTTAGAAATGAGTTCAGATGGTTTAAAAAACTGTAGTAAATATATACTAGACAAAGTTTTAACATTAAAGCATTGATTGTAGATGACTTTTGTGTTGTGTGGATTACAGTGCAGAATAATTCAAACACCCGTACTTAAACATAAATCATTTTGTAAAATGCAGGTATCTAAAACAGTTCACTCAAGAATACCATGCGTTTGAAAGGTGATTGGTTTTGGTCAGAACATGAATATCCCTAACATGTATGGATGCTTTTGATGGATGCTGGTGCATTTCAAGTTTAATTGATGAAATGTTTATCTCAGGTTGCTTATGATGATTTTGTTGCTGCTGGATCATTTGCAGTTGCAAGAGAGAAATGACTTCTAAGTTTGTTTTTCCAAGCGTTGTTTATGTTTTTTGTATGATTTTTGCATTTTGAAATCTATCACGGTTTAATTTTGGTGAAGGTCTACACTTGATCAAAGTCATTGAAGAAGAATGTTGTGGATGCTGCATTGATCAAAGCCATTGAAGTAGTGCTGGATTTGAAGGCTTATTTTGGTGCAGCATACTTAAGTAGTTTCAATTAAGTAGTATATATTTTCATGACTTTTTTTTTTCTTATTTTTATAAACATGACCATAATTTTTGTTGTAAAGAATTTTGATATTTAAATATATTTTTAATTTGAAATTTAGTGTGTTCATTAATTTGTTGATAGACATATAATTTATTTACAATAGATATAAATAAAATTATGGTAATATAAAAATAATAAAAACATTCCATATGATTTAAGATTTTCCTACCAACAGTTGGAAGGAAAATTACAAAATATAATATGTGAGTTTTCCGTCCAACGCACGTAGTTGGACGGAATTTCCGACTAACACACATGGTTAGACGGAAATTCCCACGTTTTAAAAATGGTGGGGTACTTGCTAGAATTTTCGTCCAATTTTTATTCGTTGGACGCTGTTTCCGACCAAAAACCATAGTTGGACGGAATTTCCTACGGAAGTTTTTCCGAACGTTCCTTTTGGTCGGTATGTTGGACGGAAACGTCATTTCCGACCAATATATCGCATTTTCCGTCCAAAATTTGTTGGACGGAAAACGCGAGATTTCAATTCTTGTCTATCCAATGTCTCTTTGTTCATCAACTTCACCATAGCTTCATTGTCCAGTTCCACCACCACCTTCTCCCATCCTTTTTAGTGGATCAATTTCAATCCTTCTCTCAATCCCCATAGTTCCGCCATGAAACTAGAGGCGACCCCGATGTTGACGATGAAACCCGTGAGCCAATTTCCATGGTGGTCCCTAACTAGGCTACCTGCAGTAGCAGGGCCGGATTTTGAGTTGTGCAAGCTGGGCTATCGCACAGGTCTTCAAATTTTAGAGGGCCCCAAATTTTAAAGGACTCAATATTTAATTTTTACCTAGCTAGTTTAGAAATAAAGAATAAAAGTTTTCAATTACATTGAAAAGGCTTTATAGAGAAATGGTAGAAATATGTGTTTATTGTATTTTAATTTGAAGGTCATCTCCCTTTATTTTTAATCCTTTTGCATTGCGCGCCCACAATTATTATTGTTATAATTGTAATTTATTCCATAATATGTTTTTTTTTTTTTTTTTTTTTTTTTGCGCACACCAACATTTTACTACATTATTATTATTATTATTATTATTATTATTATTATTATTATTATTATTATTATTATTATTATTATTATTATTATTATTATTATTGTTATTGTTATTGTTATTATTATGATTAGAAAAAATTACTATATTGGTTTTAAAGATTGTGATTTTGGGTAGAACCTCATTTATTTACTAGAATGGGACCACAAAAATCTAAACCCCGACTATGTGCAGTAGCCTGGCCCGTAGCACTCTGCATCGCACCATTCGTGTTCATTTTAATCCATCCCTCCTCCGGTGTTGACCATCCCACCCATCTCATACTGCACATATTTTGATCATGAATATTCAAAATGAAAATGAGGGTCGCATGAGAACATAAAAGATGCGAAACACACGTGTGACTATTCCACCTAAGTTCTTTGAATTTTGCATAATTAAGAATAGATTAATTAATCCCTCTAATGAAGGAACTAATTTTAAGAAGAAAATGATGAATAATTAACCCATTAATAAATGCAATATAAGTAGGGTGAAACACATCAATTGGTGTACAAAGCACACAACACCATGTGAAATCCTCATGTGACCAAGTGTTCCATACGTTGCCTCGTTAATCACCAAATGACAAACTCAATTTGTCACTTTTAGCTTCTTCTACGAAATAACCAAAATTGACTTCAACCCACTTGTAAGTTGTGACAATGAAAATATGTAACCACTATTCGAGAGTTTGTATTAATTAAATTACTAATTTGGTTGGGGTTAGCCCCAATTTTAATTACTCCGTATTTTCTTCAACAACTAACATGTGAAACAACCTCCTCAATAAGTAACATGGGGAATAATCTCTAATCAAGTTGATGAGTAACATCGACTCTCCATAAAAATTATCTATATTGACATTCTTGATTTGAACCGGTTAGTAATATGTGAAAATCCTTTTTCAATTTCATTTCATATTTTCCGAGAGGCCATGGGGGGTGGCTTAGGGGGAATCGAACCCGGATTATCTCAAAATTTCTCCCACAAAGAGAGCTCATTTGCCACTTGCGCTACTACACTGGGTTATATTTTTCCATTAATTCCAAAGAACAGTATCAACCATTGCTGGAAGTGCCCATCTTGTTCAATTCAATGAAAATTCAGAGAAGACCATCTCTAGAATCACCACATTTAGAGAGACTGCTGAAATAGTCCAAAAAGTTTCACACAACAAAATTTTTTCAAGAAAACACAACAATACAACTTCTAATCATGTTTTAACTTCATAATAAACCCCCCAATACACAAGAGCATGGAGAATAATAATAGTCTTCAAAACAACAATAAACTAAATGAAAGTTTTCATAGCTATTGCCTACTATGGAGAATGGCACTCCCGAGTCCCGAAGGCCTACACCAAAGAACAAGAAATGTGTTCGATCTTGTTCTTGCACTACAGCCGCCTCCAATTTCACTGGTCTGCTGAAGAATTTGGAGGAACAAACTTGACTGAGACACTGTTCACGCAGTGGCGTTCGTCTGTGGGTGTTTTGAACCCTTCACCTTTGAAGACATGGCCGAGGTGTCCACCACAGGCAGTACAGGTGATTTCAGTCCTCCTGCCATCGGGGTCCGGCTGACAACATGCCACATTTGTGTTACAGTATAGAAAAGCAAGGGGAAGGTTATGGTTTAACAGCAGTTGCAAAATGTTTCATGCTAGTTTAAAGCCTGCAGTTTTCATATCTGACCGGAAGTTACAAATAACTGAAGAGAGTAAAGATATTGGCATTTAATTCATACCACAATGCTCCCTTACTTCTTGATATTATAATTTCAGATTGGACCAAGGTCACTGAAGTGGGCTATAATGCACATAGGCCAAACCACACTAAAACACTAAATCCAAATAATTAGCTAGTCTAACCCATGACCTTATAAACCCATATTTTTTCTCTTTTTTTTTTTTTTTTTTTTTTTTTTTTCCAATGTGGGACTCTTAACAAAGACAAAAACTGCAACTTCAATCACATTTCTTTGTTGGTCTTACATTATATGTTACTTCAGCTCTGTTTCTTTAGAATTTCAGTAACAGTAGGCATGGTATGTGAACTGTGAAGGTCTGGTCACACTACATGCATGAAAATTGATAAGTAAAAAGTTCCGAGAATGTACAATAGCAGGTAAGAATTTCTTACAGTGCGGGTAATTGCCCCCGGGAAACCCTCATAAAAGGCAGGCCAACCACAACCAGAGTCGAACTTGGTCGTAGATTTGTAGAGAGGGGTCCCGCAACCAGCACAATTGTAAATCCCTTCCTCATAAAGCTTGTTGTATTCTCCAGTGCCACGCAACCTGAAAAGCATTCATTTGTTAGCCACTAGCATATATAAAATATATGCAAGAAACTGTCTTTATAGTGTTTATACAGACATAGAACCACAAAGTCACAGGTCCCCAAATGCAGGTAAAAGATAAAGGCAATTAAGTTTGATTGATTCATTGTAATGAGTCAATGAAACAATTATACTAGGCATTTTGAATCATATATCACTCCTAAACTTTCCCAGTTCTTATTTTTCAGCCTTTCAAAGTCATCCACTTTCCAAAACGACATTCAGAACTATTCAAACCATTTTTGAAGATTAAAGAAGTCAGTGATTCACCATTAGACATTACTTATCAACACACTTTGCCAAAACTTGCCACTCCACTGGTTGAACACATTAGAAGTTATCTTAACCCACAATGATCCAAGAATTCTTTAAAATATCACAGCACCTCAAGAAATTTTCATAAATTATAAACTGCCAAACTCAATAAGGGTGCATTGAGAACACAGAGACCTCAATTATATTATAATCACTTCACTAGAATGGAAATTGAAAACATAAAGGTTTTTTTTTTTTTTTTTCATTAATTAGTACATTAAAAGGTTTAGACAAGATGAAAGTATTTTAAACAAGAACAGGCACAGTACAGTGGAAAATCTAGATTCAGCAAGCATGTCCAAATTATTTCAGACACCAGGAACTATTTCAAGATTCATCAAGTTAACTAATTTCATAGGAAATGATAAGCGCAATAGTGAAGAACTGTTCACATAAGAGACTAGACATCAAGCTAAAACTAAGGGTGTGTTTGGTTCGCACATGGGAATCGAAATCAGAATGTGAATCAAATACTTGATAATAGTAATGAGAAAAATGAAGGAAAAGTGAAAATTACTCGGTGCCCTTTTCTCGGAGGATCCGGAACTGTTCGGGTGAGAGAATGGCCCTCCATTCCTCCTCAGATTTCTCGACTTTTGTCACCGCCATGGCCGTTGACTGCAGAAACTGATGGGTTCTCTGTGTTATACACACGCACAAGCACATATACATATGGAGTATATATATAATTAATACATATATAAATTTACTCATATTGTTAGTGGGTTTTTCTTTTAGAAGTGAATATGGATGGCGGAGTGGGGCAGATTCAATGGAAATATTAATCTATTCATAAATCATAATCATGGTTCAATTGTCCCTGACGCCCTGAAATACTACCTAATCATCATTTGGCGTTGGCCTTAATTCATTGTGTAAGCTTCTTAGTCCTTAGAATGGCAAAAATGAATTATGGTAAGTAGTTGATATGAATCGGTACTTAAAAGTAGTGGCTTATAAGGGTAGGGGCAGAGGGAATTTCCAGTGGAGAGGTGAAATGCATAGAGATTGGTAAAAACACAAACCCCAAGATACCATATTTAAATTGAATATTTATGGTCTTTCAATTTTCAAATTTAATTATTCATCATTCAAATTTATCACTCTAGTCTTTAATTATTAAATTTTAAACAACTATAGTCCTTTTTAGAAGACTAAACGGATTAAATTTTAAAACTTAAAGGACCATGAATTGTTAACTTGGATTACGAATGATTAAATTAAAAAGTTGAAAGAATTACAAATGATCAATCTCAAAATTTAGGATTAAACGTTGTGAAATTACTATATTCGGAAGATCTCAAATGATATTAACTTGGATATTTTTAATTTGAAAAGAAAATGGGGGCACGTGGTATGTGTAGACACGCACCACTGATATGTATGTGTGATTTGCACGCGCTATTGTACCCCACCATCACAACATATAATTATTAAAAAAAAAAAAGGAATAAGGATCAAATAGGCCATCGAACTGCACACGATAAAACAATTAGGCCATTGAACCTAAAAAACCAACAATTAGGTCCCTAAACTAATCAATTTCAAACAATTCTTCCAATTTGAAGGTTTCCAACAGGTCAACAGGTCATCTCCCAAATTAATTATTTTTTTAAAAAATAAATTTTAAAAATTAATTATTTTTAAATTAAAAAAATAAAAATAAAAAACTGGAATCCAGCCGGAGACGACCGTCTCCGGCCGGAATCAGTTTTTTTTTTTTTTTAATTTAAATAATTAATTTTTAAAATTTAAATTTTAAAAAATAATTAATTTAGAAGGATGACCTGTTGACCTGTTGGAAACCTTCAAATTGGAAGAATTGTTTGAAATTGATTAGTTTAGGGACCCAATTGTTAGTTTTTTAAGTTCAATGGTCTAATTGTTTTACCGTGTGCAGTTCGATGGCCTATTTGACCCTTATTCCAAAAAAAAAAAAAAAAAAGTTTAATCCTTCAACAGTCACAACTTATGCTTGCCGAAGGAAGGACTGAGTGCCATACGGAATTTTTTTTTCCTCTAAAGAAAATATTGTTTTAGCAAATTCGCGACGCAAAATTACCAAAGTTTCTAAAATGGTATTGATCAATTTGGAGATACATAATACAACGTATTACAAACTACAACAATAACCATCGCCCTAAAGGAATAGTATATCGTCAATGACCACAGGTAAAAACATATTTTGATCTCATAAGAAAGACGGTTCTCAATTTTAATTCAACTTACAAAAAAAAAAAAAAAAAAAAAAAAAAAAAAAAAAAAAAAAAAAAAAACAACAACAAAGATGTCGGTCAAGTAGAGCAAATGACAATGATGTGTCGTTATGTGATTGATATTTATCTAGTATATATACTAATTTTTTACGCGCATTGTGCGATTGGGATAATGCCTAATGTTTTCCTCAGGATTGTAAAAATTGGTCTAGGCGTCTCTAGACCGTGGCGATTTCCCCCATAAGCGTCCGCCTAGGTTACCGGCCGCCTAGGCGTCCGCCTAGCGTCTAAGTTAGTCGAGTTAACTCATCCATTTCGGTCGAGTTAACCCGATCGGCTCAGCCTTTTTTTTATTATTATATATGTGTGTGTGTGTGTGCGCGCGCGCGTGCGCGCATACATATATATACTCGTAGACTAGTTTGATACTTTGAATCTTTGGATGATTGAAACATTTGAGTATTTTTAATTTTTAATATTGTTTTAATTTTTTTTTTTTTGAAAACCATTGTTTTGATGTTATAACTTATGAATTATCATTAATTCATTTATTTGGATGTGTTATTTGATTAAATGTTGAAAACAACCTCATTTTAATTGTCAAACTGCAAGTCTACCACTGTTTTTTTGGCGCCCGCCTAGATTCCGCCTAGACCGCCTAGGCGCTAGGCGCTGTCCCGACGCCCGACAAACGCCTAGCGCCTACTGCAACCATGATTTTTCTTAAATAAGTATTTTTAAGTATATCAAGGCAAGATTATATTATAATTGTTCATGCATAGATAATTGAATGTTGAATTTGCGTATTTAAATTGGTAATTCTAAGTTTACAAATGCAAGATAATATAGTCAACATTGATTATAATTGTCAATAAAATAATTGTATGGGTATGGTTGAAACGAAATACGGACATAAGGGAGAGTAAATAAAAATTAAAGCATAAGATATTAAATATACACTAATATTATTCGAGCAGTAGGATTTGTGGTTAGAGTTCTATTAAGACTTTAATATTAGAATTAGACTAACGGTGAATTAACGGTATTTAATGGAAAAGTTAACGGATCGGATAATCATATAATTAAGGATAAATTAAGAAATCTCAAGGAAAAATTAAAATATTATTAATCTGAACTATTCATTTAATTTAATAATTTGACGGTCATTTTTTATACCCAATGTTTATAATTAAATAAATATTTGAAAGTATATAAATGCAAGATTATATATGAGAAGTTCAACATATAAGTAATTTGATGTCTAATTTGTCTATTTAAATATGTAATTCATAGTATATGAATACAATGTAATACAGGAGATTCATTATAATTGTTACTAAACTTTTTTTAAATAGTAACCAAGTATTTTTGTTTCAAAGAGTTCTAATATATTTAATGAATGCACATATATACAAGATTAATGAATGAATCAACGGTACCTCTCCTTTAGGTGTTTTGCTCAGTGATCATTTAGTTCAACCATTATTGTTGAATAAATTATTATGGATAAAGAAATTCCTAATTTAAAGAATTTAGATGTAGTAAAAAAAATTAAAATTTTTAATTATAATGTAATCCAAAGATATTGGACGATTAGTAAATATGATGTAACCCAAAGATCAAAATGTTAAAGAAAGTGTTTTGGTTATTCAACAATTTGAAGCAACAATTTTTTCCAAACCACTAAAAATACAAACATTGCAATTTATAATATTTTCACTTAACGTTTTTTAGAATGATTTCCTCAAAACAAATCTATATTTAAAAAAAAAATTATTATTATTATTATTATTATTATTATTATTATTATTATTATTATTATATGTACACCCTTAGATCATTTTAAATGTTAATTTAAACAGCTAATTTTTTCAAATATCTTTTTACCAACTGTTGATATAATTCACTAGTGAAATATGCTAATATAATCCACTAACGCTAACCGCTAACTGCTGATTGTCAAACAAGGACATTGCGAGGTAGTTCCTCACTTCAATTTGTTATGTGATTTGAATACACTCTTTGTCAACAAATCCCTTAAAGTAGTTAATATAATTGACTTTATTAATTTCAATTTTTTAAATTTTTTCATGGTATTCATAAAATACTTGGTAAATAAATATATAACATTATTTTGTATTATAACTTTGATATTTAATTAAAAAATAGTGCACAAAAAAAAAAAATAATAGACAATGTATGTAGTGAATACAATGAATTGATGAATTTTAATGTAAAGAATTTTTATATTGGAGAAAAATAAAGACAATATAACTAATGAAATTATTTCTCTTAATAAATTTATTGATAATGATTAATTTTTTTTTAATAAAGACATTGTAGGGACAATGCAGCGAATATAATCAATTGATGAATTTGAATTTTGAATGTAAAGAATTTTTATATTGGAGAAAAATAAAGACAATATAACTAATGAAATTATTTCTCTTATTTAATTTATTAATAATGAATAATTTTTTTTTTTTGAATAAAAGCATTGTAGACACATAATTCTAAATTAAAGAAATGCATATGTATTATTTTTTGTTGTAGCTACTAAATTATTATTTATAATTTAATAAGAGTAAAATAGAGTACTAATTATGCCAACTTTGATTGGGATGTGGTTCGAACCTAAGAAATTTCTTATTGAAATCAATGAGTAAGTTAACGGTGAACTAACAGAAATTAACGAAAAAGATAATATTTAACGGAAAATTTAACGGATAGTCATATTCATTAAGGATAAATTAGGAAATCTCAAGGAAAAATTAAAATCTGATCAATCTGAGTCATTCATTTGATTAAAAAATTTGACCGCCATTTTTTCTACCTATTATAGGCCTAACTCTCTTGGGCTCTTATTAGTATAGTAGATAGTAGATACTAGTTCTTTTACGCACTTTGCGCGAATGGAATAATGCCCAACGATTATTTTTAAATAAGTATTTCAAAGTATATCAATACAATATTATATCAGAGATGTTCATACACAGGTAAATAAATATTGAATTTGTTTATTTAAATCGGTAATTTATAGTATATAAATGCAATATAATATATGAGAGATTGATTATATTGTCACTAAAATAAATGTTTGCAACTTTGTAATAACGTTAATCTAAATACTTAGTCTAAAAACGATAGTCTAAACAAATACTACTTTTGATTTAAATTCCCTAATTCTTCTCAATTCTCTTTTGGGTAGCATTTTCATTGTCTTCATCTTCAGTATATGTCCTTATTTTATTTTATTGGTAGTGTGTCATGTGCAATTGGGTTATTGGTGGTAGCATAGATGGATTCATCATGCAATGAGATTATGGTGTAGGATTGGTAGTGGTAGTTTTTCCCCTACATATTTCATGCATTGTGAGATATGTGTCGTAGGTTATTATGTGAAAGTATTGAACACAATATAAATATTTATTATATTTGTATAAAATACCTGGTAAATAAATATATATAACATATTTTGTATTATAACTTTGATATTTAATTACAAGATATTGTAAAAAGAAGACAATGGACAATGTAGTGAAGATAATAAATTATTAAATTTGAAGGTAATGAATCTTTGAATTGTAGAAAATAAAGATAATATAACTAATAAAATTATATCT